GGGAAAGAGTTATCGGTTAGGTTAAATATCTATGATTGAATGTTTTGTTTTAATAACAATTTTCATTTTATAACTTTCTTTTAATCTTATACTTACCGTACTAACAATAATAATAAAAACAAAAACAAAAACAAAAAAAAAGAAACCGATCTTTGAATTAATTTTAAAAATTTCCCATTAAGAAAGAGCGGGGAATTTGAGGAGAAAAAAAAAACCAAAATACGCGGTAGGTGGTTTGAGGAAGCGGGAGAAGGAATAAGCTTGAAGAATGTTTAATCTGACAAATGAACAGTATGATAAACCTCTCTTAGTCAGGGCTAATCCTCTTTTGTCAACCTTTGTCATCAAATTACCACCCGACCGATGCCCTGTTGTGAGGTAATATCTTTTTTCACTATACTTTACACTTGTTTACATTTAAGGTCAAATGGATAAGGAAAGTATGGATAAGATGAGATGAGATGAGATAAAAAGAGAGTAAAAATAATATTTTATCAAAATTTATTTGGAAAAGGAAAAAGATAAAAAGAAGTATGTAAATGAAATTTAAAAAAAAAAAAAAAATTATAACATTTCATTTTTATTGTCTCTTTGTAATTTATCTTTAATTTTCTATTAAAATTTTGCATGCTTAAACATAATTTAATTGCCGTCAAATTATAATTTGACAGATATTTCCCTCTAAACATTTCATCTATTTACGTTTAAGGTCAAAGGACAATGAGAAAATGCATGGACATGAAAATGAAATGAATGAACCAGAAAAAAAAAGCAATAATATGAGGGGAAATTGAAAATTCGAAATTTGATGTTAATTGTCTGTCTGCAATTTTTAAAAATCTCCGCAAATTTACATATTTAAATATCAATTAATTTTGTTTTTATTTGCATTTAATTTAAATTGGAAATGATTAAATGAAATGAAAATTAATGTTATTTTATTAAATTTAACAAATTTCAATTCTTTTTTTTTTTTTTTTTATTGTCTAACAATGAATGGACCACCTCTTTTCAATAATAATAGCCCAGAATCATGGACAGGGTCAAGGACCGTTTTCTGAAAGCCTAAAAAGGCGGAGTTATACAGCTATGATTTCTCCGCCCTTTTTCATTCCATTCTTTTGTATCATTATCCATTTCACAAACTACTTCAAATACACAATTTCCGGTGTAATATCATCCAGTACAACCGGAATATATCCGATTTCTGTTTTAAAGAATTTTATCAATTTTTATAAAGAATTCTTTTCTTTTCTAATTGCTACATATATTCTGATTTGCTTTTGAAAAAAAAAATTTCCGATTCCGGTAACACCCGAAAGATAGACTAAACCGAAAATTTGAGCAAAAAAGATTTTATACGATTTCTCATTCTCTCATATTTTCGATATGTGATATTTTGACATGTACAAATTACAATAACATCTTCCGGTTAATTTAGTTAGTATTATTAGTTTAGTAAGTAGACCGAATTTAAAATAGGAATTGGTACATGATTAAAATAGAATTAGAAATAACTTGAATTAATTGAATTAAATTATGATTAGTGAGAAAAAAAATTGGAAAATTTTAATGATTGAAAAAATTCGATCAATATTTTTCTTTGGTATATTATATCATATGTTGCCTTTTCTTTTTTTTTTGTTTTATTTTACAGAATAATGACAGCACCATCAATAGTTGTATCAAATGAGTCAACAATAACTTCGACGACATTTGATGCAATCAATAAATCTCGAATGCGACGTCAAAAAGCAAATACACGTGAGAGGAATCGTATGCATGGCTTAAATCGTGCTTTAGATAAATTACGTCAACGTGTCCCAATAACAACTCAACATCAAAAACTTTCCAAAATTGAAACATTACGTCTAGCAAGGTTTCACATTTTAATTTCAAACTATCAATTCTAATAATTCCAGTAAATTTTTCTAATTAAATTGATAATTTCTAAATAATTACGACTAAAATTCATTCATATCTCATTTTTTCCTGCATATTTCATAATTAATAATAATTTAGGAGTAATTGTTTTAAATTCCTTTTTTTCAAATATTTCATTCATTTAACTTACTTTTTTAGCTCATTTATTATTTAACTTATTTAATTTATTATTGTGTTTATTAAAAATTTACCAACTCCTCGCACTTTTTGCATTTGCTATACATTTAATAATTAATAATAACTTAATAAGTAATAATAATTTTTCTTACGTTTGATATGGTCACGTAAGCAATCAAAATTTCACGTTTTTCACTTACGTTTTTCATCACTAATCATTGCCGCTTATTTTGTTTTATTTATTTCGATATTTATCGTACTTTTCATCATATTTTTGCAAAAATGAAAACTTATGTTGGAATGTAACTAAGATCAAATTACGGCCAATAAGTATATTCAATCAAAATTGAAACTAATCAAAAGGCGCCATCAAATGTCGCATATAAATAGCTTATTGTCTCAAGTAGGTAATAACTTCTAATTTAACAAATGGAGATTACGGTATTCCTAACCACAACGTTTTCTTTTCTAAACTTTTTGTTTCATTTTCAATTTATCTAATTTCTATTAATAATGTTTTTATTATTATTATTACTACTATTAATATTAATATTAATATCATTATATTATTATTATTATTATTATTATTATTATTATTATTATTATTATTATTATTATTATTATTATTATTATTATTATTATTATTATTATTATTATTATTATTATTATTATTATTATTATTATTATTATTATTATTATTATTATTATTATTATTATTATTATTATTATTATTATTATTATTATTATTATTAATTATTATTATTATTATTATTATTATTATTATTATTATTATTATTATTATTATTATTATTATTATTATTATTATTATTATTATTATTATTATTATTATTATTATTATTATTATTATTATTATTATTATTATTATTATTATTATTATTATTATTATTATTATTATTATTATTATTATTATTATTATTATTA